GATACAAGCCCCCCGGATATAAGCCCGTCTAATGTATAAGTGCGTTACTTTTGCGTTTCTTTACAAACATTAAAATTTTTGATCGAAAGTTGTAGGCATAAACAAGTGGCTGTGGAGTAACAATAAAAACAATAATTATAATGATACCAAAGAAAGAGACAAATGTTCATGCATATATAAAAACGTAAAAGTGTAAAAAAATGTATTATAAATGTAATAGATCTAGATGTAATGGTATTCTAGCTTTAATTCGTTTCTCAGATACGTTTTATCTCGTCGTTCCGGAACATGTTTTTTGTTACGCTTATATATGCCCCCCCGGATATAAACCCCCTCCCACCGCCCGCTTGTAATCCCACCTAAAACCCCTTATAAAGTTATACAAGCCTAGGGCTTTAACGTGTGATTTTACGGCACTATGTTTTCATGAATAACTCACTGTAATGTATCTGGGTAAGGCTTGCAAGACCCTGTCTGTCGAGACCAAACGGTTTCCTGCAAAATTCGAGATTCTGAGGAACTCTGCAATTTCAAGATTGTGAGACATGGAGATTCTGAGACTATGCTTTAAGACCCCGAGACTGTTTCCGAGAGAATAGCCGTGCAATGTATCTTTCGTGGTGGATAAGTCATTTCAAGAATAGTTGTTACTTAAAACGACATAGTGGAACCTTCTCTAACATAACTAGCCATCTCTCCACAGCAGCCATTGGCATTAATCTGTCATTCTTATTGAAACTCCTGGCTTCCCTCTCATAACAGCAACTTAATTTTACGTTAGGGTGACTCGGCCGTACGTGTTGTAAAGACGGGTTCAACTGTGATCACGTGGAGTCTAATGAAGCAGGCCTCAGGACTGACATACTGTGTTATTGATCAAGCATGAGGTCAAGATGGCTGGATTAATTGATCTATATGTAGGATTTTATATTGTAAAAAAGCATCGAGAACATCACAGTTTGATGAGTTTTTAGAGAGATTCATTGTTATTATTGTATTAACAGTCAGAACATTTAATTTGCATTGTTTTGTTTGCCTGAATCTAAATAAAAGCAACGCGATGATTGGATAACATTCAGCATCTTAGATAACGCAGTCGCTGATTAGTTGGTTCTAAAGGCCTAACCAGTTGCTAAGATATTTTCCATGGTTGAGGGTCATAGCGAGGAAACAGTCATACCTTAACCATTAGCACTGCATAAATTAGTGGCAGCTATTGAATTCTTCGATGATTGGATAACATTCAGCAACTCACATGTAACGGAATTGCTGATTGGTTGCTCCTTAAGGCCTAACGATATTTCCGTGGTTGAATGTCATAGCGAGGAAACACTCATACATTAACTATGAGCCCTGCAAGGCTAAAAGAAGAGCAGAAGTTTCCATTTCACAGCCAACCAATCACCTAAAGACGAGCTGTTATAAACGTCCAATAGAAAGCCACATTTTCAGACTCTTCGACTCCTTAGTTAGATTTAATCGCCGCCCTTTAGTTTGGGTTATATTTTACCACATAAAGTCAGGTAGGGAAAGTTTCAGACCTGATATATAATTTTTTCAATTTGTAGTGAAACCCGAGCTTTAATTCATATTTTTTAGGGTTTGATCACTTGAGTTCGGGTGCCATCTTGAGTAAAGCTTGAAAGCGGTTATTCAAAGGTTTTCAAAGGTAGGTTAGACCTCAGTAGTCCCGATAAAGTCAGCATAAACCATTGCTTATTGCTCAAATGCCAAACTTTCAATTCCTGGCGAATTTAGCATGTTAGAGGAAAAATTTCGTCTTTTGATCTAACTAAGGTGCATTGATTTCGACAGCACAACAACACTTATCTAGTTTACACGTAATTGATGGTGAGGCGCGGTCAAAAGCACGCTTTTGAGGAAAATCGATAGAATCGAAGGCCATTTTACACTTGTTATCAAAATAACAAGGTTAAACTATCAGAAATAGTTCGCTGAAAATGAATATAATAAATATTTAATTCTGCAATGAAATGAATCAAATTGGACATTAGTTACATCAAGGCTTTTAATATAACTTAGGACAGAGATAACTTATTAAGCTACACTCTTTATTTTTCATTAGAATATTGTTTATTTTTTCGGCAGAGGCTGAATATTCTTATTTTTCTGCTGACTTTAGGCTGAAAATATTCTTGAGAATATTCTTAGATTATAGCGTGTGACAATATTTGTTTTCGAATGTATTTGGTGTCCGGATGGTGTTAAAGTAATTTTGGAGCCAGCCTGCGGGCATTGAAGCCTGCTATCACGCACATAACTTCTTGGAGAAATGGTTATTGGCATCGAACAAACGGCTAGTGCTTTATTCATAGCGTTATTTCCCTTTAGCTCAATAGCGCTTTACAATAATTACAGTCCCAAGTTTCCAATTACAAATTTTACAGATATAGTGGTAGCTAAAAACGTTACAAATTCATATATATATATCTCAATTACTCTTGACTAATAATAACGGTAAAAATTTAGAAATATGTAACGTGCTAGGGTCGCCGCGAAGCTCTTCGGAACGTCTCACAGAATTGGCTGAGAAATGATATACAAACAATAGTAACAATGGGCCCTAGCCCTAAAACAGCAGAGCTTCGTGCTAACAAGATCCAATGAAATTAGAGGTCTTAGAGAGCTTCATGACAACATACATGCTAATCTATATTATAACATTTATTAAGAAGGTGCGTTTTAATATAGGTCTTGAATTCCAATTCCTTCTCCAGTCAGTCATGTTTGAATTTCACAGTTCACTAGATTAGGGCTGTCATGAACTTAGTCGGAGAGTCCACTGCAATCACTAACACTGTAAAGTCTGACTACAAACTGCAGTTAATGGTGTTGATGTGACGACAGCCAATATTGAGAGATGATGTCAATTCTGCAATTTGCATTTTTGCCCCCGCGCAATAATAGCACCCCCCGCGTATAATAGTTATGAAATATTGGTACCATCGGTGGTGTTATGCGAATCGATCCCGGTTTGACGAAACTGGGCGCGCGCGGTGGTCCTGTGTGCTAAGACACTCAAATATGGCCTTCATAACGATTTTAGCGCGATCAAGCAATTTCGCTTCGAAATGGCGGAGATGCTAGGACAAATTTAAAACGACTTCAAAGTTCCTGAAGATTTATTTTGGGATTAAAACAACCCAGAAGGTGCCGTCAGTAATTGAGAAAGTAGTTTTCTGAATTATCTCGAGATTCGAAGTGGAGAATTCTCGCTAAACGATCGTACGTGTCGATTCGCTTGTGTCCGAGATGTTATCGCATGTTTTTAATTGCAACTAAACACCCTTCCGATCGCCAGTTGTATTTATTTATTTATTTATTTATTTATTTATTTATCACAATTCATGGCGCTAAAATAATTGCATGTAAACACGAAACAATACACTCCTAAAAAAGGCCAATGGATAATCCGTAAAAGAGTCCAGAACCCCATATAACCTGTGTTTTTCCAGGAAGTACGTTTTGTTCCCTTTCAAACGAGAAAGGGTAAACTGCTCTGCTGTAAGTGCTTCATGAGATATTATGTAAAAAATATCATGTGTTAAATTTGTCCTTTAAAACTGTCTGGAATAGAATGAGTTAAATAGAAGGTGTTGGTTTAGTTTACTTAGTTGATTGCTTGGATCATATTAATGATAAATTGCCTAAGTTATAGGAACATTATGAGCGATATAGTTTACAAAAAAAGAAATAAAAGTTTCAGTTCATACAATAATGTTCAATTGTTTTCAATCAGCACAAAAAGAGAAAACGCGGGCAGTTTTAATGTGAACTATTACTAGTGTTAATTAGACAGGTGTTTTGATGTTTTCGCATTGTTATCGCATAATGTGAATTGTTTCAAAAAGTGTGGACTTAGTTCGTACTTTGAAAAGGAGGCTTTAAGACTTTTATGATAACAACTCTTTCTTATAATATTCCAAGCAGTGGGAATGTAAGTATAGAAACTTATTTTTAAATCAATTTGATTGTAAATATTATTATATGGTAATTATTACTATCATTACTACTAATGGGGCTGAATGTCAATTGGGACATCGTCCTGTTTTCTGCTCCAGTTGCTAACGCCTATGACTTATTTATTATTAATATTATTTTGTTGTTTTATTATTTTGGTTTCCTATGTATAAATATGCAACGAATTCAATAAAGTTTAAAGTTCTGTACTTTTTATTATTTCTTTTTCGCCACTCTGAATCTAGATATATTATTGTTCTGATTCTTTCTCTTCAGAAACTTTGCATTTGTTTCATTGCCCTTGGTGCAAACCATGAAGACTGCAATTTGTGTGTTCATCATCGCTCTGCTGATCCTATCTGCGAACGGGTTGCGTAAGTACACTAAACACAAGAACACAAGGAGCGCTGACCATTACAAACAGACATCCCTAGAATATTCTATTCTTATGACATACTACAAAAAGTTTTTTAAAATTTCTTTGACCGGCTTTTGTTTGGAATTCTGGTGAACAAATAACGCACGAGCAGATGGGTTTTTGCAAAACAAAACAAAAACATCTCATGTGGTATGGTCAATCACAAATCATAGGTGTTGAACGGGATGGATGAATATGATGAAATGAGGGTTTCTGAATCAGTGGTGTTTAATTACACCCGCTTTCAGTGTTCCGTGCATAGGCGACATCTTTCGGTCATCTTTCGACATGCTATGTAAACGGCTGAAAGACCGTTTAACGGTGAAAATGACAACTTTCCAGTTATTAGTGGAGGAAATGGCAAATAAATGATAATCACTGACCTCAAATGGCTGAAGAAGATTGTGGACTTTGCATGTTTCCCGTTTTACGGGCAATTCAAACGATTTAGGTGTAGTCGATTGGCTCTCAATAGAATTGGGCCGCTGCCGCTTTTAATATTCGCAACGTGTAAACATTCAAAACAGTAATTTATCCTCACTGCATATCCATTGTTTCGATCACGTTAGACTAACTTATGGGAGGAGTCCGCGACCGCCTAAGCAAAAGGTATGCAGCAAGGCCGGGTGAGAAGTGGTCACCGCCACCAGGGGAGGAGGGAGGGGCGCAAAGCGTCTTCCCAAGGCAATCTTGTCAAACTGCGAGATTTCGCACTGCGCAGCCAGATTTTATGTTCGAAAGGCCGCAAAGGATCATACTAGACGTTACTAACCTAGACCCTTGGGATTAGCGGAATGTAGCGCGTTATCGCGATACGCTCATTATATATGCAGTGAGAATAGTCGATTTATTTCTCCCAGAATGACTTCTTGAACTCGTAACCTTAGTTTGATGTCAAGATTCTAGTTTTCAAATCTTTACCCTGTCAATTCGTTTTAAATCCACTTTCAAGGGCAGCACGCGCGTTATTAGTGTCGATCTATTAAATAGCTTTAAGTATCTACTTTTATATTTACATTAACAAGTCTCTGCGCTAAAAGACAATGTCTGATTTCTTTGTTTACTTTGATTTAGTTTTCGGTAAGAGAAGTATTGAAATGCCTCACGAAGAGAATGAATCGACAGAAATAGGAGACCAAGATAGAGCGCTTCGCAAAGACCCGGATTTGAATGCGGCTGCGCTCGATGAGCGTCTTAAGTTACACCGAGAAAACGTTGCCGGGACATCAGCATCATTTTAAGGCAAGTTGTATCAGGTACACTGGATAACACGTTTAGACAATGTACCGAGAAAAAAGCCCTTGTTATTGTGTAAAATGTCCGTAATTAACATAAAAATGGTGATGAGCGGTGGCATTGAAAATGTTAATTACGCAGAAATCCTCATACCAGTTTCCAAACCAACCTCGTCCCAGGCCTTTTGCTGGATTTTCTACGTACCTAAAGTTTCTGTATATGTACGTCGTGGCTAATGTGTTCACTAGTTAGTTTTAAACTCTTAAATGTACATAGTACATATAAGGTTTTCCTGTCTATTTCTTAAGCCTTGTAAGGCTTTTTGTATATTATAATATAGATAGGACCCTGCACGCGCTCTGATTGGTCGAAAACCCATGTTTTATCAGAGTATAAAACATAGAAAAAGCGTGTTTTATTGTTTTTCTCCACATTACTCTCTATATCATAAAGCAAATAAAGAACCTAAGCCGTGTACTGATTACACTGTGTTAAAACACTCCTGACATTTGAGAACACTCGAGAAATGTAGAAAACACTCGCCTGCGGCACGTGTTTTCTACATTTCCCCCCGTGTTCCCAAATGCCCGTCGTGTTTTATCACAGTGTAACACACGGCTTAGGCTTCTTTGTTTGTTTAAAATATCATGTTTTGCCGGATCAGACTGTTGTACGTGATAATTTCTAACTTATAATATTCAGGTTACCGATACATTAAGAAGACACGACTGATCATCGCAGTTATACACAACTTAAGCCTGAAAAAAAATTCAGGTTACTGATACATTGTCCACGATTAGTTTCTTTTATAGCTAAATAAATAGCCTGAAAAGTTATTTTCATTAATTTAATCACTCAAATAACAACACAAATTTGTTTGGTTTACTTCAGAAACGTCAGAGTAAAGTCCAAGACTGAGAAACGACAAGTGTTTCATTGGTGTGGTGCCTGGGAAAATAAGGGTGTGGTGTAATCTTTTTAAGGGTTCAAAATAAAGTTGTTAAAACATAGGGAATTGCCGTGTTTGGGTTATTACATATATCTTTCTGTAATATCGATAAGAATATACTGTTGCTTAGCAATCCTACTGACTAGGAATGAACAACACTGACTCAACCGTTCTGCATCGACTCCGGCACTGTTGTACTTTTTCCCTCTGTTAATCACACAAAATAATATCAATACATAAACCATATTTCCTTTGGTTGCCGTTGCTAATATTTGCGAAATTTAACACAAAAGTTGGGTTTTGTGCCCAGGAAATTCTCTTTGAAACGAAGTCCTCTTGCATGACTTCAAAACATTTGCCACGCACGCGGCCGAAAGCAAGCTGCAGATTGATGGCAAGTACTGCTTTCATTTGAATAGTCACACATCGTTTTGTTACATCTATAGCATTTAAGGTCTTCAGGTCTTAAAGAGACGCAGTGGTAAATAGTCAATTTTTGCCGTTGGTTTTCAAACGGAGGGTTTGTGTCGCATACATGGATAGCCATTAATATGGGCAAAGAGTTGTCTTCAGCACGAACTTCGTCAGTTACTGACTTCCTCTCTATCCCCACTTCGATTGAGCTTTGCTCTTGCACCCTGATTCGTCTCCATTCTTAAAAGACACGAAGGAAAAACAAATGATAAATGCCATCAAACTATTAGTTATTAACTTTGTTTCCTATTTTAAATCCATTAATCTCCCTAAGACCAAGAAGTGACCCCTTTCTCTCGCTAAACAGCGAATAGAAACGATAAGGGAACCATTTGGTACCGCATTTTCTGTTATTTCGTTAACTTTGGAGAGAAAGTGACGCAGATAAATTGATAGAAGACACAATAACAGAAGCTCTGCCGATAAGACTGTGACGACGTTAAGTTTCTTGAAGTTTGTCGTGAATATTCCCCCTCAGTCGACAGTGGACCGCTTTGTCGATAGTAGTAAAATTGGCAAAACCAGCCCTGTCTTTTATGCCGGAAGGGAATGAGAACTTTGCAATATACGAATTGCTGGCACATACGTGCGATAAAGTATTTGCCTCTTTCGTTCTCAAATGTTACATCAAATTCCATAAATTAGTTAGCAGCTTTTATTCCATAGTCCAAACACAAGGATCGAAATACCTATATAGTACAATAAACAGTATAAAATGAACTATAGACTGCGAGCAGTCTTTCTTTGCCTCCAAAATCCGTGGGTAAGAAAGCAAAACAAGTGAGCGTGCGAGCGTGACTGTGAGCGTGATGTGCGAGCGGCGATGACACGAGTTCATTATGATAGTCAAGGACTATGGCTTTATCAACAAGCTTAGTTAAAATCATATTGGACATATTGTACAGTATAAAAACAGTCAGTACCATATAAAATTGCCGCTCATTATTATATCTCTCAGTTACTACGCGCGCTGGGATTGGTCAATTTGGCGGGCCGTACTCCACTGTACGGCGCGCTAAAATTTAAAGCTGTTTTCGTTGCCAAAATGTTTCGTGATTTATCGCCAGGTGTCCTTAACTTTTGTAGCAAGTAAAAGTCTGGAACTTTCTTTTACTTTAAATTTTGTATTAAAACGTGCTAACGACTTAACAGTGATTTAATTGACTCTTTCTGCTTTCGACGTGCGTCAGAAATTTGAAGTCTTTCCGCGTGAACAGAAATCGTTCCCGAACCCGTTAGGCACACAGTAGAGATATAATAAATACTTCTTAATAACCGAGTTGGAGGTCTGTACTGTAAGTTAGGGACCAAGTTTTTCCCCTTCGATTTATGGCTTCGTTTCACACTTTGAAGGGGAAAAACTCGGTCCGTAACTTACAGTGAAATTGAATTTTACACGACTAGCACTGTTGTTTATTTGCACATATTGCGAGCAATACACGGTGACGAATCACGTTCAATGAGTTTTATCATTCACTCTCTCTATATGCTTTTGTCTGATAAGTACAGACTTCGTCAGGGAGACAAATGGATCGAGGTTGCGTATAGACACTAAATTTTGGCAGTTTTACTAAGGCAAAGTGCTTAAAACTGACCGAAATCTGTTCCCGAACGGACGGCGCGGAATCAACGCTGAGATTAGCTAAAGATGAAATTTATATTGCACATGTGCTAATAATCCCTAGGTTGTGGCGGTTTGAATCAGACCTATTAAGTTGTACTATAATGCGTTGCTGCGCAGCTCTGTTTTCACATTCTGAGTTAAAATTAAATTTAGCAATTGACCTGCTCCTCTTTAAAACCTCTATTTAGGTTCACTCTTATTGATCTGCACCTCTTTTGTTCTCAGGCCTAGGGAAATTGTTTGCGTTCTTTACCTATTGTTTCGTTTGGCCAGTCATAAAGAACCTTGTTAACAGCGCTGGTCGCCCCAAATTCAGAGCGGTAACTTTCTTGTCCTAAACCTTAGATCTAAGCGAGTTCAGCACACGATTGAGGTTTGAAAACCACAACTTCTTTTGAGCTCACAGTACGTGTTAACAATGCTGTGACACTGGACATACCCACTTGCGTTACAATCGATATACTGCACCAATCCGCCATGAATATCAACCCACGTGATCATGTCATCGCGTGACACAACAGAGGTGGTGTAACGCTGTAAGTCGTCTAAAGAAATACCAAACTTTGCTCGGCTGAAAACTTCACCGGGGCTGGAAAACGTGACAGTCGTTACTTTTTGTCGACTTCCCACAATCTTCGCCAGGCCACCACCGATGGAATGGCCCGTGAGGAGAATGGTGCTCCCCGCCGTTCGATTTATTTTCTGCACGTATGACTCAACCGAAGAGAAAGCAAAATCCTCGCGATTATTGTGCAGCAGTCTCTCAAGAAACGATGACGCGGTTATGTAAGACGTCACGAAGTTCAAGGGAAAAGTCTGCTTAGGTAGAGCCACAGAAGTCACTTGGTAACTGATAATCTCACTCCAAAGTTTCAGGTATTGAAACCATTCCTGAGAAGATGCGGTTCCCCGTATACCAATGACATGAACTTGAGTGGTGCCCTCGAGTAGGTGATAAAACCTGGGATTTCCCCCTGATATGTAGGTAACATTCCACGTCCCACCTCGATCAAGAAAATAACCGTTGACTGATTGAGTAAGATCTCGTTTGTTCCAGTTCTTCTGGTAAGCGATATACGAGAGATACGCCATATCTGCAATGTTTAAACGTAAAGGAGTCCCGTACATTTTGCCGCAGATTGGGTACTTAGCCGAATTTTCACTGATAGAGAAATCGCTTGTGTCCCGCGTGTGATTGAGAGGTGGGAAATTGCAATCTTTATCACAATGTACTTGCGACGTGCTCGCCAAAATCATCACAGCAAGGTAGGCAGCGATGAACATCAAAGCAAAACGTTTCTTTATCACAAAGTATTCTCCATTAGGTCTTCTGCAGCCTCGAAAGATGACGTATAAAATGAGACAGGCGGTAAGAAACGGATAGAAAAACGCAAAACAAACCGCTCCGGTTGCCGCCCCGACGAGTGTGAACGACACAGGAGAAAGAATTGAAAACATAATAAGCAGAAAACGCATCGGGAGTAGGACTACGACGTAAGCTTCATGGCTTTCCTCTCTGTAGCAGAATACTATCAAACCAACTGAGCCTATCACTGCCACTATTAACGCTGCAAACCAACACACTATCAGACAACTGCTGAGAAAAGTCATGACGCCAAAGTTCTTATCTGCGCAAGCAGCATGGATACCAGAGCTTAATAAGATGGCGAGGAAAATTCCCACTTTGACTACTCTGAACTTGAGAGATCTTTTAACAACAGCGACTTTTATGATTTCCCAGAACAACGAGAACACAAAACACACTACGAAGATTGTGCAGCAGAGGAGAATTAACATACAACACGCGTAGAAATTCTGATAATCCATGGACTCTCCTAGCGGTGAAATCATCTCGAAAGTCATTTCCAGTGCACAGTTTATGGCGAAGCTGAAAGCTGTCACAAAGAAGGACACCAGAGAAACGACTATGGTCACGTGAGATATCGGATAAAAGGCTGAAAATAAACCTCTGAGGATCTTCCATTGCAAACCTTCACGGCGTGGAAATATCTGTAAGAAACAAGACATAAATGGAAGTATAATATCTTAATTTGCCGCCGTCGCCGCCAATCTCCCCACCCCCTCCCCCCTCGCCTCACCTTATTATAATCAATGAAAACTTATTGGGGAACGGATTATTTTTTGGAACATGAAGGTTATTAAAGAAACGATTTTGATTCCCACGTTTGGGGTGGTTAGTTTACCGAAGGGCGTATCTTAGGGACAGGTTCGCTTGTTATCGGTACTGTACGATTTCAAGAACTTAACGAAAGCTGATATAGTTTCTTCACAGGTTGCCCAAACTCACAAATGAGCGTCCCTTTGTGCTCTATATATGACAAACCAGCGAAGCTAAAAGCCGCCTAAATTGCCATAAATTGGTCTAAAAACCTCACCGGGAAACCAAAACACACGCCTGAAGCGAAGGAGGTTTATTTTGTTCATATTCCGTCGTATCTTTTAGGGTTAAGAACATAACATTTTCCTAACACAAATCCTTGTATTTCGACTGTTGCGTAACCTGAATGTATAAGGGACGCTCATTTGCGGGTTTGGTTAACCTGTGGTTTGTTCAGATTATAAGTCTTGTACTACATGTATAGACCTCTTCACAGGATATTGCATGAAAGAGACATGCTGAGACTTAAATTCTCCTGAATTTAAGCACAACCGTTGTTGAAACGTAAGTTCCTTTAATTGATAATCCCTCTTAGTTACGTAAGCCGACCATAATGACTTCAAGGTAAAAATGGTCAAATATAAGCCAGTAAATTTTACGGTATATTGTCAGGAGCTCTTAATTATAAACACGTCTTGGCGCGATGAAACAAAGTACGTGTATGGAAGTGGTACGTGATGATAGAAAATTCAACGCTTGTCCTTTCAGGCTGGTCACGTTGACACCACAAGGAAATGTCAAATAAAATACATCCAAGCTCTCACGGATTCACTCATCCTTATTCCTAGGGTGTCTCTGGGGTGTCTTGTCTTCCCGTTAAGAGAGGCGAGAAGGAGACCCTGGAAATAGAGTTGAGAGAGACATTGAACTCATTCTGAGACGATCACATTTGGGAGTGGCTCCACTGGTCCGCTCTGGAGAGGTATCCAATTGCAGCGAGACCAGCGCGACCAGCTAGATATTCATCAGACTGGGAGAAGTCTCTGTTTTGCTCGAAAATCCGTAGGGAAGAACGCAAAGAAGAATGCAACACAAGTGAAAGGTTGTGAACATGCAAAGCCGCGAGCCACAAGTAGCGCGGGCGTAGGAAGATGAACAAAAAGAGAGACTGCAATGTCATGTCCGTTTAGGGTGAGTTGACAAACAGGGGTTGACAATGTTTCAGACTTCAAAACTGAATTTCCTGTCTTTCGTATGTAAAACAATCAGTCCATGATACTTTGTGTTCGCGAGCCGGACAAATTTAAAAAAGGAAATTATCTCATAATCCCGGAACAATGCCAGCGATACTCTTTTTTTGTTTATCAAACCAAATCTCAAACAGGGTCACGTATTAAAAGAAAAAGTCGAAAAAAATTGAAAAGAAAGTTAGAGAGCCTGTCACGGCCTTCTTTATAACTGACTAATGAATTGAAACTTTTCTTGTGTATTAAAGTTCAAATTCTTCTACAACAAGAAGAAAACAAGAGAAAAACGAGGACAACAACACTCACTCCCTTTCAGCTTGAGCTGATTGTGGCTCATTTGTAATATTTGCTGTTGTTATAATACTCTGCGACCCCGCCAACAGATGAAGGGTCAAGATACTGGCAGGGAAACGATCAGGGCTAGACACTTCTGTGAAGGTGTATCTTTCTTTTAATTTTGTAGGGTTATTGTAGCCTTGAAAAGAAAATACACTGACGCTTTTGAGAAGTGGGGGAGAGAAATATTTGAGAAAAATAAGGACTGAAGGGAGTAAGATTACGGGAGGCGCCGAAATTTGAGCTAAAAATTACTCCATAGCTAACTCGTAATGAAAACACCAAACGTGCGATTTAGGAGAATCATATTAACTTTTGACTGATAGCATAATGTCTTGGTCCGAAAACCGATAGTCTGCGAGAGAGACACGTCTGCACTAGATCGCAGGCTAGAAAACCGATTGCTTAGCCGTGAAAATTGGCAGGAGTGACATTAAGGGTGCGTTCCTTTGGGGTGATCTGGATCAGGATCATTGATCCAAGATCTGTCTGGATCATGGTGCATCAAAGAAACCGATGAATCCACTCTGGTCATGGATTCATCGGTTTCTTTGATGCACCATGATCCTGATCCTGATCACTCCAGAGTGACGCACCCTAATTTAGCAAGGTAAAACTCCGACATGAACGGGCCACATCAAGCTTACTAGTAGGAACTCATCCTCCAGAAACGCCCCTAACAATAACCCGGGAACAATATTTGTCTCGTCCATTCGATTGATCTCAATCTAGACAGTAAAGCAATGACCAACTCGGTAGCGAAACAAAATACTATGTGAGCTGTTCGTGACGTGCTTTTAAACCTAAATATGTCGTTTCTTTCTAAATAAGTAACTTCTTACCCGAACAGTGCTTCTAGATCGAGGACTGACAAACAATGGAGTGTTCTCTTCTTCTTCCGTCAATACAAGGATATCTTCGATGTGTCCTTGGGCCATACCTTTTTCTTCTGTGTCTTCGAAAACTCTTAAGTTTTCCGCGCTAACATCATTTCTTCCTGTTATTTCTGATTGTAAAGCGAACAAGCATCACTATAGGCTTGCGTGGCGCTGTGACTGCAAGTCAAATCTCGTTATGAAACACGCATGCTAAATTGCACAACTTCCGGTATAACAACGTCTAGCGTGACATCGGGGCGACTATTGTAGGTCAACTGTGGACATCTCATGAACGAGTGACTGATGCATTGCGTGACCATCGTTGCCAGCGGGTGAACGTTTTCCCGTTCCGCTGGACAGGGTAACGAGGGCTCTGAGAACGAGATTGCGTAGTTCTCTGCTAGAGAGAGAGCAGTATTGCCCATTTTCAAACGCGCGCACCGAGTGGTTAATCTCCTTTATCGCGTTTAAATTGCAACTTTATGATTACAAAGTTTTTTTGCTCATGAACTAACCCCAGGGTCATTCGACTCTTAGCCAAATTCTCTCTCGTTCCAGGATTCTTCCGGATTGAAATTAGAAACACTCTCAAGTGACTGGGGTTTCATTCCGGGAGTCTGGTCATGAGTGACGTCACGGAATCAAGTTGAATATTTTGCTTGTGTACAAATCCATTTTTAGATAGATTTTTTGCCGACGGTAGCTCATGGTGGTTCTACGTCTGGGCTGTAACAAAAATAGGCTCTGGTAATTTAGCAGAGTATCGCTTGCTATTGTATTGTCCTGCAGGACCAGTAGCGCACAAAAAGTTTCAAAAGTTTAACGAGCTAGTAGATCAAAGCTGACAAGATGGCTTCAGATCAAGACCTGTTGTTCAAGACGCTCCTCATGTCCATTTCAAATCAACTCACGACAGAAGACCTCGAAAAAATGAAGTTCGGTCTTGAGTTACCTCAGGGCACCTTAGAAGACGTGCAAAAACCGTTCGAACTCTTTCGTCGAATGATGAACGCTAAGTTATTGTCTGCCGAAAATCGAGGTCACTTGGCGTCCCTGTTGCAGTTTGCTGGTCGATTCGATTTGTGTAACGAGCTGATGCAACACCGTGTGTCCCAGTTTGGGCCAACTGAAGGTGAGTTGAAGTTTACTGCTAAAAGTTTAGTCTACTTGATGCTTCTGATAGAGAATGGCATTTAATAGCTAACCCAGAGGAACGTACTAAACGTGCTCTAACCTTCGTTCTCACTACACATCTCGGAACCGTGAAAACTCGAGCACTATTTACAGCTCGTTATTCAGTCTCAAGTTTAATTAAGTTGATGAAAACTTAATGGCGTTCCTAAGTAACGAAGTCACGCGAAGTAGTGCCTCACAAATTTACTTCCAATCTAGTAAGGAAGAAAGTTGTTTCATCACAAATATCTGCTAGGTAGCTTACTACAACAGCGGAAGTCGATAAAGGGATTTCATGCGTGACCATAGTGAAATTACTGATTTATTGCATTTCAAAACGTATTTCAAATATATTTTTTCTCGTTCATTGTATTATTGAGATAGTTCTGGTGGCTCGAGTTTTATTTGTTTCGATGAACAAGTCAGAGGAATTGGAATTTTACTGGTAAATGCGAAATTGATGGGAGAGTCCCTATGCGTCATGACTGTCTATTGTTCACGTGCTCATTCATGAGTCGAATGTTACTAATATTGTTCACGTTCGTTTCCAGTCACGCTATCGTCCAAAATGCTTGTAGCAGTAGTTAAAATTGACAACGTTGGCAGTAGTAAGTCATATTGTGAGTTTTTCATTGTGAAATAATCAACCTTATCCGAAGAAAAATCCTTTTATTTTGTTGAGAGTTTTGCGCTTTGATTTTATGCTAGAGTAATTGTGACCAATTGTCGGATTCCTCGCGTGCTTTACAGAGACCATGACGTCATAGATCACGCTACTGCAGCGGAAAATTTATATTGTTTGCATACCGTAAGTGTAACAATCCTTATGAACAGTTTGTTCGATCACATGTTTGCTATTCGATTAAGTTTAGAGAACGCTTTAGTCGATTTTAGAACGTTTCCGTTAGAACCTTAGCCATTCAAACACGAATTCTGAATTCAGCTGATCCGGTCGATCGTTTTACAATGTAATTCCCCCTTACAATTGTCTACGATGCAGTTTATATCCCGGCCAAGACTCTATCAGAAACAGTATGATAACACTTTTATCAGTTCCGACTTTAAGCTACAGGATTTAGAGACGGGTGTTGGAGAAACTCGGCGTTTGTCATGCCAGTAGAAAAATGAAATTCTTAAAAATTGTATAATAATATGCATGATACCAGTTTCGGTCTACCCTCCTCCGAGTTCAGACTCCGTCAAATGCGCTAGCTGGCCCAATTCAAAACGGCGGCCGGTTGCGACTCTCGACAAAGAGATAATATCAAAGAGAGATGGAGATTGGGGATAGACATTGTAGCAACCATGTAGCCGTGACAAATTCAAAGACAGTGCGAGCGAGCCCTCCTGGTGGCTAACTAAAAAAGGAAATTTGACTACACTGCTTTATGCATGATATTCAAGGAAAATGTCTGGCCAAGTTTGACCCATTCCATGTTAAGATTAATCTTGAACAGACGAAATCATCCTTGTGCAAGTCTTACTTTCTTATCTTTTTTTTCCTTTTTGGAATTTTAGATGCCCGTCAGTGCTATGCCGGAGATCTCCCTTGCAGGCCTCCTCATTTTTACGGCAGGAGCCAAACTTTGGATGAAATTGTTGAGGTACTCAGTAAAAACAATGGCCAACGCCTTGTTATTATAACCGGCCCGCCAGGCTATGGAAAATCCTGTTTAGCGCAAACAATTGGACACACGATGATTGAAAAACAATTCAAGGTCATCTTCCTGTGTTTACGCGAGATCAAGTCTGTGGATAAGATGTCTGCGAAGATTCTACTTGCCTTAAACGTTTGCCAGGGACTGGCCAACAAACAGTGTGACTTGGCTAAGTCGCATTTAAGGTCACTGACCACAAAGACTATATTAATTCTTGACAACGCTGAGGATCTTCTTAGTCAAGAAGACACGAGACATGATTTTAATAATTTTATTGACCACGTGGCCAAGTTCGCGCAGAATGTGAAATGCGTCATTGCTTCAAGGGTGTGGTGCCCAGCCTCCTCTCGCCACCCCGTCAAACTGCTCGCTTTAGAAAATGACGCCGCAGCGGAACTGCTCCAAGTGAAAGTCCAAGAATGCACCATGTTAACATTAGAAGACCATGAGGCCACGACTATTGCAAATCTTTGCTTCAATGTCCCTCTCATTTTGAATGCGGCCGCCGCCTACTTAGAATTCGTTAGTCCGCAGAAGTTGATTGAAATTTTGGAAGAAAGTTCTGCTCCTATAAACTTAGCTGATATGGAGGATTTGTCGCCGGAATTTAAAATGAGGCGCTTTCTCAAGGGTTGTTTGCAACAACTCGGTCAAGAAGACCAAGAAGCCCTGGTCTCCTTAGCGGTCTTCCCAGCGGCGTTTGATTATGAACAGGCAGCGCGCGTGTATGATTCACCCAGGCTTGACGTGACTTTGATGCAGCTAGTAAAGAGGTCACTTGTCCACTGTGATGTGAAATCCAAGCAGTATTTTGTTCACCAAGTGATTCAACTTTGTTGCAAGGAAAACGCCGAGAACGACGAGCGGTTGTGCGCGTGTTACAACAAAGCACGAGAGAGGTTTGTTGAACATTATTTGGCCCTTATCACAGAACTTCATCGGGGCTTTCTAAGCAGAGGCCACATGCAACAGAACCTTTGTCGTTACTTTGCAGAGGAACAGTATATTATACAAGCAATTTGGTGGGCGGCAAAGGGTGGTACAGCGCTCGCCACACGCTGTGTAGAGATTCTCAACAATGCTGTGATTTTCTTAGCCAAAGTCATGAAGAGGAGTGAATTTGAAGAAGTTTACGAGCTCGTATTAAGCGCATTGCAAGGCGATTTGCGTTTAGTTGCCGACTGTCTTACTTGCGTCGGTATAAAACAAATCTACAGCTGTGAATGCCATCGAGCATGCAACGTCACGTCAGAGCGAGGCTACAGGGTTCTACAGAGAGCGTTAGAGATTTACGATCAGCTAGACCTGACCGAGGGAGAGCTGGTACTACAGTGCTACAGCAAGATCGCCCGCTGCATGGCCAAGAATGGAAACCCGTCAAGAGCACTGGAACTGAGTGCACGAGCTCTTGAAGCGCGGGAAAAGAAGGGAGAAGAAGAACCCCTGAAGTATGCGGCTTGTTGCAACGACAGAGCAGGTTTGACACGCTTGACTTCTTCATCGTTATATTCTGTATATGTTACAGATTGCGTACTCTGGTTACAATTTCTCACAACTGAGTGAACAAACGTTAAAGGAGCTACGTGACGGATTGCGCATCTTGAAAAGTCTAGACTAAAGTTTTCAAGTTCATCCTTTATAATCCGTGTTAATCTTCTCCATCCTTAACCATCCTTGTTCCTTTGTAGTTTACTATTATTTCTTTGGTGTTTTTCTATCTTAGTAAACTATCATACCGTGACTGAGCTCCTTTAGCATTGCTGTACAAGCACAATGTTGGAGACAGTGGATAAAAGTCAACATTGATGCGTGTCATATTGAAGTTTGTCGACAGAGATTTAAAATGTTATACACAATGCCGTATATTGTAGGCGCGAATTAAAATTGTTGCGCATAATTTTGCAGATACATATAGTAGACACGAATTTAAATTGTTGCGCACAATATTGCAGTTAGTAGACACGAACAATAACAACAACATTTATCTGTACAGAAAAAAGGAAAGAAAAATACAATTATTTGAAGCTTATAAAATAGTATTAGCTGCCTATAACGATCATGAGGCTAAGAATTTAGATTGTTGCACACTATGATGCAGATTATAAACACGAGATAAAATTGTTTCGCTCAATACAGCATTTAGAAGACATGAATTAAAATTGATGCGCGCGATGTTGCAGAAAGAAGACACCGATTTAAATTGTTGCGCACAATACTGCAGCTAGTACCCAAGAGTAATACAACTGTTGTGTACAATGCCTCATTGGTTCATGAAATTTAAAATTGCTGCGCACAATCTGCAGGTAGCAAAATATTTAGTTCAATGTTGCAGGATTATGACGCAACTCTACTTCTGAAGGTTAATGATGTGATGGTTTGATTTCCATGGGCTTTGCATAATGAAGTTATTTAAGCTGTTTTTGTTTTTCTTTCATTAGTTGTTCAAAGCTCCTTGAACAACCACGTGGAAGCCTTGAGTCTCAGAGAACGCGCCCTCAGTGCCTATATCGACCAACTAGATGATCATCCGTTCACTGGAACGCTTTATAACTATCTGGGCAATGATTCTCTCGCGCTGGGCAACTTTGATAAAGCGGTCGAGTATTTCTCCAAGGCGCTGATTATCAGGAAAAAGGTTCTTGGGTTTTACCACCAAGAGACTGCTCGTTCTCTCCATGATTTGGGTGTGGCCTACAAAATGAAGGTTAGTTTGTTATTTTAAAAGCTTTACTACTCCTTTTAAAAAGTAGTCTTCGCCACAGCTGTATTTTAGGATGTCACGCAACGCTCGCAAAATCGGGTTCGGAGGAGACTATGTAAAAAGGAGGGGAATAAATAGGTAAGGCCCTTTTCCTAATAGTTTTAAAATGCATCGAAGTCAAGGTGTAGAGGGGTCGAGTCTCTAAGCCTGATTGTGGTCCTCTCGGTATGACCTGGGGCAAAATGAATACCACGCTGACATAGAAATTAAACCGCGGGTATTTTAGTACTCTTAATCTCAGAGGAGATAGTTGTTCTGGTGTTCCTGATCTGTTGACAGTAACAAAATTTTGCTTTCATTTTAGTCGCACACTTAGTAGCGTAGTTGATTACGTCCTTTTCACCCCAGCGCGCACGTAGCTTGTGAACCATGCCTTGTGTGACGCACAGAACGTGTACGCACTAACAAAAGTAGGCACCGTCCACAGTGGGGTTGGTGGGGTTGGTGCGCATTGTGTGCACCTCTCCGAATTCTAATTACTGTTTCACTAATGCCTTCTCTTTGATGTTCAGGAAGACTTTGGGAACGCCATGAAGCAACTTGACGAAGCGGTCGCGGTTCAGGAACAGTTATTTGACGTCCCACACGAGAAACTCAAATCACTGCAAGAAAAGAGTGAGTTATGCTGTCGGCTGAATTTACCTGACTGTGAAGCAGCTGTTCAGGAACTACAAGTGAAAATACAGGATTGCAAGGAACAGATGGCACAGGCCAAAGAGTTCAACAACGTGAGACTGGAAAGAATTATGAACTTTGCCAGCAACAATAACGTCATTCCGTAGAATTGCAATTATGGATGTTTCATCAGTCATGGAACAGAGTCAGTTTATATTGGACTACGAGTAGTCCCTCTTTCGCTGAGTCCGTCATGCTTGACGCGAAAGGAAACCGCTTGAAAAAAATGGCCTCGCGAAATCCTTGGGGCGAGAAGCGTGCTATTCGCAGCCCCAGGATTTCGCGCGGCCATTTTCTCCTCGTGGTTTATTTACGGACTCAGCGAACGAAGGACTACTTGTAGTCCAGTTTATCTAACTCATGGTAACCGTTGTTTGTTGTTTGTGAGCGCCACTCGTTTTCCAAGCCGAACCTCACCCCTGTGTGCTCACCACTACGACTATGTATTATTACTTTAAGGCTGCAAAGAACATGGAACTGATCGGTCGCGAAGAAACTGATTAAGACTGGGAACAATCTCAGATTTCTTTCTCAGAGATTTAGAATTTAAAAGTCAGCCGAAGAACAAATCACTTCTGCATGTTTGCAGACTGTCAGAAGCCAAATTGCAACATCTCTCTTTTCAGGTGCCCAGCTGAGGACAGTTGAGGAAAACAAGTGCTTTTTTCCGCAAATCTTGCGCTCTTTCCGAGTCTTATTGTCCAATCAGAATTAGCGCGCACAGTCTTAAAGTCGTGACACCTAGCAACGTAATATCGAGCAAATACCACGGACTCAATTCATTCCTCTGTCAAAAGATCATCGGATGAAAAAACTGCGCCTGATTCACCTTGACCGAAAGTGTTTGGAAGGATAAATTGAGCCAAAGGGTACAAGCAATATGAAAGTTTTTCCACAAGCTTAGTTTACATCGTTACCGATCGCGATTAAAAAGTAGCGGCTAATTGTGATTTTGTAGTTTTAACTGAGTTCGTGCCATACGAACGCAGTTAGAAGACTAAGTGGATGATCGCATGTACTGCCAAGTTAACCTAAGTTAAATTCATATATCAGGAGGTTTTCCCTAAGTGTCGTGACTTATTTTTCATGCGAGAGTCAGACATCAGTTTTATAGTTGGCTTGATAATTCAATATAGTTTTTTGCGGACTTAAACATGTAGATGTAGATGTAGATGTAGAAGAACCTTGTTCAATCCCTGAACTCTCCTTTCCTCCCGCACTTTTCAGGGGTTGAACTCAGGCGGGGCCATGCAAGTTATTCTGAACTCTCATTTCTTCCCGCACTATACAGGGGTTGAACCCAGACACATGCATGTTATCCTGGACTCTCTTTTCTCTCGCCTGGGTTCATCCCCTATATATATAGGGTGGGAAGAAAAGAGAGTTTAGGGACTGAATTAAGGAGAGACACGGCCAGAAGTGCGTTGATGAGTTCTTGTCGAGAGCCTTATTTAATATTCCATTTGCTATTAGAATTTGTGTTGTAGCCGTTGTATCGCTATCTACTCTACGACAGAAAAATTGAATTTTTGCTGAAGAGTAGACGGTTGTAAAAGGAGTCTAGGTTGCAAAATTAAAAATAGTGGTAAACCGACATACTAAATGACAGGCTTTTAAGTAGCTTGTAAGAACTGTGAATTGTAACTTATCTTTATCAACAAAACTTTAAAATAGAAATAATGTGAAAATAAGTCCGTAAGTAGGGCATATTCCTATGTCACGTGATCAGGTTATGTTGTTAACCAGCTTCTGGCACGAAGACATCCTAGCTCGTTCCCAGTCATTTCTCAGCGCGCTGATGAGCAACAGTATTCTCTCTGTTTTGGTGATGCCATTCGATATAGTAGAGTCCTCCAAACAGGTACAGGAACATGGGCAAGTAAAACTATACAAGACGAAGATAACCCGAATCTTGTTCGATAGCCTCTGGATCCGAATCTTATTAAAGGCGGCAAAAAACGAAGCGAAGGCTGTCGGTGCGAAAAGATGCATCATCGCAATCGTTTAAGTGTCTCGATGTGAAGGTCCCTAAAGAATACACCGTGACACTTTTTACGATGTTCAACGTTTTACGTAGGTGGTTACAAGAAGTTAGGCGAATGTTGACAACATTTCACAGCTAGGCTATCTGTCAGGTCAGGATCAGATCCAGATCAGATCTGTTATGCAAAGAGGACAGATTAAGTAGCCTCCCACGCAGGCGCTCCAAAGATCAAGAGCGTCTGCGTGGGAGGGCCTGGGAGGTTACAGATAAAGAGGCTTTCCTGTCCATTGTAAGAGTATTGTGACAATTGAATGTCAATAATATGCAAGGAAGAGAGAAACGTTATCTTAGGACAAAGTGAAATTTTGGAGGTACTAATCAAAATTGGTGAAAAGCTGGGTTTTTTTTCGGTGTTGTGGAGATAAACACTGTATAATTTGGATAAACTGTAATGCAAGGACCACTTGTACAAATAGCAGCGGAGTGAAGCCGGATCTTGGTTTAGATCAGGGTCAGCAGTGTAAAATAAAGCATAAAACCAATTGAAAGGCTGACCGGACTGCTGAAAAGGGTAAATTTAACGCCCAATCTGTTCCCGAAGAAGGTTAGTCCCGTCTAACCAAAATGTTGGGCATTAAATTTACCCTTTTCAGCCGTCCGGTCAGCCTTT